CACAAATCAGTCTCTCTCACGCTAGCAATATTCCACTTGAAGTCATCCGGAATGCATGTATTCAGCAAAATTCGAACAATAGTAAAAATCTCACTCAACACTAAAACAAATCTGTTCAAATAACAGTCAAAACTAAGTGCTTTCTTTTTAAAATGAAGATTTCCAAACTAAAAGAAAGTGGAAATATGTGGTTTAATTTGTAAACAATTATATATTTATAAAGAATGTAAAAGGACATTGAGTACTGGTTCTCTACAAATATAATAATTTTTTTCATGAAGTTTATTGGAATAATCTTAAAAATAATGGAGCCAGAGTTCTTTAAATTTCTTACTTTTCCATTGGAAGAAATGATTTTGCTTTGCTGAAACAATGTTTTCAAGCTGTGATCTGATAGGTAGGCTCATTTAGATCCTAAACAGACTAAAAGGATAGCACATGATTCCCTTATTTATTAGTAAGAGAAACTGTTCACTGCTTCTTTGTATAGAAAGAATCAAAAAGTCATCTTAGAATTCCTTGTTCCTCGAAAGGAGGAACCGACTGACCTCTTGGTTATGAAAATATGGTTTATCCCTTTTTCATAACCCTAAGAATGGGGAAAACCAATTTGCTTTAAGATAAGAAAAGGATAAGAACTCAAACTTTTCTCCCTGAGATTTCAATTTAGGATAGAACAAATTGACCCTGAACTAGGTCTGTAGGCCAAAAGGAATATAAATATCCCAAAGGGAACTGGTAATGAAGGCAGAGACTAGGCTGGTACCTAGGCTTAACAGTAGGGCCCAAGAGTAGGGACTGCATACTGACACTAGTCACACTTCAGGGAGCAATGGCTGGGCTTTGCATGAAGACTGAAAAGGTTATAGTCCTGCATGCTAGTGTAGGAGACAGTTGCAGGAGTGGAAAGATCCAGATAAGCAATCAACTAATAAATAATGCCAAACAGCACCGACTAAAATGCCAGAGCTCCAGCAGACTATAAAATCTCCCTCTTTGCCTAGAAACTGGAAATAAGACTGCCTCCTCCTTGGCATTTTGGGGCATTTCAGGTCAGGGAAGAGAATGATATGCCAGATTTCCCTAAGCAGTGAATGGAAAAGAGACATGTGACTATATTATTACTCTAAGACAATAAACATGGACTTTAATACCAGAAATGATGGGGTCAAGTTTGACCACATTTGATTACTAATTTAAGTGTTTCGTTTACTCTCTACCACAGTTCAGGAAGGATGTAAGATGGAATTATATAAGTCTCCTCCTCTCTGTAGTTGGTACCTCCTCATCCTACTATTTTGCATTGCCCCATGATGGTCTTTCTTTAATTCTTCCCATATTACCTACAAGTCAAGGTCTTTTACTGGTCTGCTTTGGCTTGGTTCACTTCTCTCTTGGAAAAAGCAATCCTAAGGCCCACCAGATTCAAGGGAAAGGGATGCAGACCCCACCTCTTGATGGACGAAATAGCAAAGAATTTGCAACCATGTATTAAAACTACCACAGTCTAGCCTCTGACTACAATTTTTTTTACATTCCTTTTGAATCGAATATGCTTAAACTCTCCCAAGATCCTCAGCAGTCTCATCCGATTAAAGCATCAGGCTCGGGCTCAAGGTCTGGATCTCATCATCTAAGTCAGGTCCATCTGTAAATGAGAGTTGGCTCCTCTCCTAAGGATGATCTTTTTAGCTAGATAACTCAATTCGTTAGGTACGTTTCCCACTTGCCACTGGCAACAGTGTGGTCATAATTTTATGTTTCTCACTTTCCTTTAAATTTTCATGACAGTTCCCTCAAAATCCATTGGGCTTCTGAACAGCACCTGGTTTCAAAACCAGTGCCCATGTTTAGGTTTTTGTTAAGCCAGGTACTAAATTTAGTTCTGCTTATCTATGGTTGCAACCCCGCCCCCGACACACACACACACACACACACACACACACACACACAATACACTGGCTTAATACAACAATTTTATTTTGTTCAGGATTTGGGGAGCCAGAAATTTGGGGATGGCTAAGCTGGGCCTCTTGGGGGCCTCTCATGCAGTCAGACTTTGACTGGAGCTTCAGTCATCTGAAAACCCCCGGGGGCTGGTAGTAAACATTATCTATCTCTGGGAGCTCAGCCAAGCCTGTTGACCAAGACCCCTATCCATAGTTTCATGTGGCTTGGGTTTTTCACAGCATGATGACAGAGTTCTCAGCTTGTTTGCTTTCATTTATTTTCTTGTTAACTTCTTATCGTCTTGACTAATGGGGATGATTATTCCTAAGGAAAATTAAGAACCAAAACCAAAAACAAACCTTGGACCCTAATTCCAAGTGCTTCCTATGTAAATACAACAAGGAAATAACTCAGTCAACTGGAAAACCATTTGAAAAGAAAAAAAATTATTGAATATTAAAATTGTACCACTATTGTATATATAATGTTAGCACAAGGCTAACATTTTGCATAATAAATATTCCTATTCTTTTTTCTGGATAGCAGAAATAATTGAATAGCAGCCATCAGTGAAGTAGGACAAAAGAGGGTTATTATCATAAATGTTAGTTTGATCTTTCAAGGAGATTTGATTACCTTCTACCCAGACTCCATTTCACCCACTTGAATAGAGGTTCTGCTTTTCATCAGTCAAATGTCAAGTGCCTTTGTTGCATCCTAGCTGGCCATATTCCATATAAAGGGCAAAGAACAGTTTTTCCACAGCAAAATTTGTGAAAAACATAGTTCTTTCATGGTAAAACATGGACGAAAGATAAGCCTAAGAAGGTCTTTATCTAACAAAATAGCTAAAGATGCCAAACTACTTATAACACATCAGTGAAAGTGACTTACCATCTATCATCTTTCTTCAGGTAAAGGTACATGTTCCTTCATTTAAAAAAAATTCTTCATACTCCTAGTAACCTCTGCCAATGGTTTCCCTTCATTCATCTTTTAGTCTAACATTGGACATGACTAAAGAGTTAAATTTATCTTATAAACAGGCTAGTAAGGCTATTTATAGTTCCGGGGTGGAGAAAGTATATATATTAATTTGGTAAGCCACTCATTTTAATTAGTGGCCTCAAGGTTAATTGGGGGGAAATCACTAAATTAATCCAATATTGAAAACAGTTTTGCACTGAGGAATATTTATCCTCAAATTTCTTTATGTGAATTAAGGCATTTACAAACTGAATCTGGAGGTCTTAAAGAAAAAAGGCAAATTTCTTATCTTGCTTCAGAGGGAATGATGGTGTGTACTCCCAACCCTTCCCCCTACTGTGTGAATAGGAGAGGGAGTAGCAGTGGCTTTCTCAGCTCCATAAAAGAACAGAGGAATTTCTCTGTGGATTATAAAAGATTGGCTCTGAGATATGGAGCAGAGACTTATTCGATTATGCCATACGGCCTCCTACTGAAAAGATTCCGGGTATACTATGAGATTTTTGTGAAGTTGTATGCATTCAAACTATAATAACCAAAATTATGGGTTGCCATAGAAACAATATAATAAATTATATTTAAAAGCAATATAATAAATGACTAGATTACACAATGGTAGCAAACGAACTACTGCCTAGTGCTATTATGTAGCATTATTGCTGTGGCTGGATATTATTTTATTTACTTCTCATGGTAGCCTTGCAAAGTAGGTAGTGTTTCCATATTTTACAGATGAGAAAACTGAAGTTAAGAAACTAGCCCAAGTCTACCAAACAATATGAGAAAACCCTAGATCCGCCTGACTTCAAATTTTCTTTCTCTTATGCAACAAATTTCAACTATATGACAAAAGTAAAAGCAAACAAAAAAAATTACATAGACAAGAAAGATGTGTCCCAAAGTTAGAGAAGCTAAAATTCCGTTAGCTGTTAATAAAAATAATTCGTTTTATTATCATATTTAGTTTATAGTCTGCATATTGTGCTACAACTACATTGATGTTCAGCAGTTAAAATACTTCAAAGAAATACCAAAGGAATTTTCTAAAGCTCTTAGAGTACATTAATTTTGTGAATTTATGTTCCTTTATTTTTCTTTCCCTCATATCTTTCGGCCTTGCTTTTTAAAATTCTTCAATTCTGAGTAGTTTTTGCATGGTATTACTGAGATAATCTTTTGAAAATTACTTTCAATTTCTGTTCTCAAAGAATTTTTCTTTTTGGAAGATACAACTGGAAAACAAGGAAAAGTATTTTCCATTGTTCCCTAGGTAGGCACAGCCTTCTTTCTGCTAATACGTTCCACATTAAATCCAGGCATTAGTTATTGGTACTAGAAGCTATTATCTGACTTTTATAGCTCCCACCCTAATAATAATAATACATTAAAGTTTCCTAGGTCATCATCTGAGGAATAGGACTTAAATCTCTGGAGAAAAATGTGATAAATTCACATCAATTGCAAAACCTTTTTACAGAAAATATTTACACCAGTTCCTTTGGTAGTTTTTTAAAAAATCCAAATAAAGAATATCTACATTTTTCCTCCTTATTTTTACTTTTAGAAAAATCTTTAACCTAACAATAAACAACAGGATATCTTTTTCTGGTAGGCAAAAACAACAGGACTTCTTGTATGTCAGTGAATTATATGGTAAAATTCTTAATAATCATTCCTTCTTTTTAATCTTCTTATGAAAAGTGTGTATATTACCTAAACTGACCAAGGCCCTAGTCCTTATTAGTAAATAGTAACATAAACATAATTAGCTGCTTAATAGAATTTCAAAAGTTATTTATAAAAAAACATAAGCTTTTTTCTTCTTTCTTTATAATTGTATTTATTTAAGTAATTTGGACTCACCTTAGAATAAATTACTTTGTGTTTATTTTTCATTGCATCTGCTACTCAATGAGTCCTAGTGAGTCACATTCACTCCAGAAAAGACAACAATCAATAATAAGAAGCTTTTGGGAAATAAACAATTAATGTTAAAAATGTGATATTGACTTAGTTATTTTGTTAGCAAATATTAAATATCTTCTACACCTGTATTTACTCACCTATAAGTCCTAAAAGAATGTAGCCAATAATGAACAGCATGAAGATTATGCAGCACAGAACATCTGTACAATTCCTAAAGACAAAAAAGAATAAAGAATTAAAAGGGGGTCCAAAATGACTTCTTGCTTACTGCACAAAATATAAAGGTAATATGGCATTTTATATCCAAAAGGAAGATCACATATATTTCTGTAATCGAAGACTTCAGCACAATGAGTGGTCATAATTTTATAACTAAAGAAGCTCCCTTTAGCATCCTTAGCATGTATTCTTTCTTGTTTTATATTTGTAAAATGTTTTTAGGGATTACAGTATACCAACATCCAATGATGATTTTGTAATTTAATGATGAAATTGTAATTTAAGCTATTTGATTTTATGATTTTCTTTTTCATGTCTGCCCAACATATGGTGTGTGTATATATATATATATTAAAAATCATCCATTTTCCATCCCTCCATTTTCTTTCTGTATGCACATTTTAAGAATAAAATTATTAAAGGATTGACTATATAAACTTTTGATGGGAAGTAGAGTTGCAATTATTCTAATTACTTGAAACTGTAATTTTCCCAGTCATTCTGTAAGCTAATATCATCAAATTAGGTATAGCAAAAATTTGGCTCATTGAGACTCAGTGATTTGCTAAGGGTCATAAGTCAAACCTTGATCCAGCAG